GGGTCATAGGTCAAAATAAAGCTTAACAATTATACGATAAAAATATACGTATAGAAATTGTTCAGAAATAGATTTCGACAGTTACCATTCATTCTTTTCATCGGAATATAACACTAGTAATAAGCCTTACTGTGTTCATTTCCATTCTCACAATTGATTGATCACTGGGTGGTGATCAATGTCATGCTTGTCTAGTCCTTATTAGTGCAGATCGAATGCTATCGATCATGTTGCAATGTGGCCACCAGTCTAGGTGACTCGATACTGCGGGCACTATATACTGAGATCAGATGGTGGTTGGAGGTAGTCGACAGGAAACCCTGGACCAGGGTTTCGTGCTACTTGGCACTCGTCAGCAAGGTGTACCTGTAATCTTGAGGGAACTGGTGCTAGGGAGTCACATAGACTGGTGGCCACATTGCAACATGATCGATATCATTCGATCTGCACTAATAAGGACTAGACAAGCATGACATTGATCACCACCCAGTGATCAGTCAATTGTGATTACATCTCAGTCCTACAGGAGGTTAGTCACGGCTCGGATAGCTCAGTGGTAACGTCTCTGACTGTGGAGCTGAGTGACACGAGATCGAATCCGCCAGGGAGCACCAGTTCCCTCAAGATTACAGGTATACCTTAGTGACGAGTGCCAAGTAGCACGAAACCCTGGTCCAGGGTTTCCTGTTGACTACCTCCAACCACCATCTAATCTCATTTCCATTCTATCAATCAGTTATAAACAGCATTGGATATGCAGTTAATCATGTTGATACATATCATATCAATTAAGCAACAATAATAATGAAGTAGACTAGTAATATATAAGGAAAAATAATCAATTTTATTCAAATGGAACTTGACAAAGTGTGGTGCGTGCTACTTATATTGATATAAGTAGTATATGACGCGAGACAGGAATGTAATGTCTGGCAGCAGAAGATGGGGAAGATCAAGAAAGGAAGTGCGGGGATGGAAAGCAATTAGTATGGAAATGCAAGAACAATGAAGTTCGAGACAATTATTGAACATTTTGCAAACTAGATATTATAGTATGGTTTTTCTATTTTACCAAGTGACCCTGAAATTTTTATGCTGAACATGATCCAGTTGTCCTCACCTGTGTTCTCCTTCACTATAGAAGATCTGGAATGAATACAGTCGTACTAATAGGGTTCATTTCAAAACAGGTTAATGAATATTACCTACTATGATTTAGGACGATACTTGTGTAGTGAACAAGAACACGAATGGAGATAACCGAATGTATATGAACACATTACAGAACATCTTACTAAAATCTGAGAATCATACAATGAATACTTCATTTACAAACTATCAATCAATTGTCTTAAACTTCACTGATCCTTTTGTAAATATCAGTCCATCGTCTCAGATTTCATTGTTCCTGTATTTTCATACTAATTGCTTTCTGTTCCCATTCTTTCCTTTTCAATCTTCTACTGAAATACATTCTATTCCTTATTATCATTCTATACTACTTATGTGTATATAAGTAACACACACGACATCTGGAGCACAAAAAGATTATTTACATATACATTTAAAAACCATTCAGCCAGTCATTAGCTATTTAGTCCATTTAGTTTGTTAAAAACAGATTTCTGTTTACAAGTTTCAAATCTCTCATAGTACTAGAAGTAGTTTAATTCTTATAGATTCCCAATTAAAAAATATATCAAATCAATGTTGTCAATTCTTTTCACATTAATTCAAATCAACATTTGGCGAGATTATCATTTATGGACAAACCAATCACAAGTAAGATAACAGGTCTCGGATTTTGACGCGGAATTTATTCATCCATATGGTTAAATCGTGATGAAAACCCTAAATCAAATTCTTTAAACTTTAACTATCAACTGTAAATGAGAGTTCTAACTCTTTTATAACTTCACAGATTGAAATCATCAGTCAGTTGAAGCTAGACCATCATGGAAAACCTGTAACCACTGGACGGCCGTTTCGCCTTAGTGTGTGACTCCTCAGCAGTGCGCATCCACGATACCGCACCCCTCGAGACTCGAACCCAGGGTTTATCAGTCTCGCGCCAGGCGCTTAACCAACTAGACCACTGAGCCGGCCGACATCCAACGGTGTTAATGTCTAACTTCAACCAATCCACGAAGTTGCGCCACCGTACATTATTGTCTTCACTGAGTTGATATCTCACAACAGACCTGGTTGAACTCCACTGGTGACGGCTTCTCACTAGAACTCCAGGAGTATCTCTTCAAGTCAGTCACTAGTGAGCAAATGATTACTATCAGAAGAGGTTTGTGGAGATATTAGAAATATCACAGTTTGAAATCATCAGTCAATTGAAGCTAGACCACCATAGAGAACCTGGAAGCACTGAACGGCCGTTTCGTCCTAGTACTGGAACTCCTCAGCAGTGCGCGTCCACGATCCCGCACTTCGCGAGATTCGAATCCAGAACCTATCAGTCTTTTATAACTGTCATTTACTTCTAATCATTAAGTATCCACTCTCAAAGTCACTTCCACGTAACTTAGATGTCGTCCATAAATTGTAATCTCATCTAATGTTATGAATTTCTTAACTAAAACCAACATTTTATTATACCCGAATAGTTGTGAAACTATAAAAAAGAAAAGGAATAAACTTTAGGGAATAATTTTGTTTAGTTTGTTCTTCTACTATGTAAATATATACAATACACCATCATGAAATCTATACTATAATCACTATGGTCTAAATTTAGCTTACTTTAATCGACCAAAACAAGCTATCTATCTATCTATCTATCTATCCCCTAAAGGTTTCAGTTCTAAATTTTGGACAATTTCAACGGATGACCTTGAGCATGAATTGTTGATTGGTTAAATTTCTATCAAATTGGGCAAGAAAGGTAACATGAAGTTAAGACGAAAGTATTTTCCCATTAGATTTTAGTCTTCATAAAATTGTATTTAAAAATTATTAAAAAAAGAAGAAGAATTCAGACTCTTATGATTATGATGTTTTCTTTTTCTTCTTTAGAAATTCTTTTAGAATCATGTATTGATCATGAGATTACAATGTTCAATGGGTTTTACCTGTTTTTATAAAGGATACTACTCATAAGATTGTTTATTAGTAGTATGTATATTATGGAATGTGGCCTGGAAGTTAACGAATAAGGTTGGATTTCCAATCATTAGTAGAATACATGGCAACTAGACAAAAACATAGTGCAGATTTCAAATTACAATGAAAGATTATTGATATCCCGAGCTCCCAACTTTGGGGAAATTTTAGGGTTTTTGTGTTATTTCCCCAAAATGTGCCAAATTTTCCCCGAAACTGGCAGCTTGGTATGTATGTATTATTGACAATGTTCTTTTTATATTAGAAGTTGATTAATAAAGAAATCCGCCTGGATTACCTCCGGAGGCTACTGCCGGTCTCAAGCCCGGATAAAGGAGGAGGGTTGAGCATGGGGTTAGCGACCTCATCCCTTCGAAAACTAACTCATTAAAAAAACGCAAACTAGAAAAAATTATTCAAACCTTTATAGAATTAACAAAGGAATCTGAAGTGACTTTAGGGAACATCATTGTGACCATAGTGATAAGTTTCAAAATATTTAGAATTGTAATGTGTCATGTGAAAGATAACAAATGTTTTTTTGTTTGTTTCAAATAATGATCATTTATCTTATTCCGCCTTAAGGAATTATTTTAGTCATTGAATTTAAGAGTCATTTGAAGCTAGACATGGAAGTATTGGATGGCCGTTTCGTCCTATTGTGAGACTGCCCAGAAGTCGCATCTATGATACCACCTCGAGAGATTTGAACACAGAACCTATCGATCTCGTACGCGAGCTTTTAACCTCCAGAACACTGAGCCAACATCCTACAGTGGTAATGTCTAACTTTAACTAATCAATGAATAAATTACTATAATATTCACAAATCCCTTCTCCCTGATTAAGGAATTATGTTTGTCAAAACCTCTGTGAATAGCAACTATAATTAAGAATCATTGAGGTACAGCTATTCGTCAGAGAATAGACATTGTGATGTTTTATGATTTATGACAGATGTTTCCAACACACTATAATTAGAAAACAACAAAATTTCTTTTCACAAATAACAACCAAGTCTTCACAATTGATTGATTACTATTGTGAGATTAGATGGTGTTTGGAGGTAGTCGACAGGAAACCCTGAACCCGGGTTTCGTGCTACTTGGAACTCGTCAGTAAGGTGTACCTGTAACTTGAGGGAACTGGTGCCCCCTGATGGATTCGATTCCGTGTCATTCAGCTTCATAGTCAGAGACGTTAAAACTATTTGTGTAGTACATCTCAATTTGTATAAGAAATCTGATCATTTAATTGCATAATTAAGTATCCTTAAGATAAAGAAGAGTGAAAAATAAAACGGGATCTAGATCAAGGGTTTCCTGAAAATTGCTTACTATTTAGTTATTTTATTTATTTTCCCATACTGAAGAAAGTGGTTTTCTTAGGCGGCCACAGCCGGAGACTTTGACCTAGAGGTCTAATCTAAAAGGTGGTGGGGCAACGCCAGGAGATGCAGTCTCATGGTAGTCACTGACCAATAATTGGTTCATACGTCATTTGTTCCCTCATGATCCTGGAGACCATGTGCATCATTGGTTGGGAATCAGGGTTTTCCAACTTACCTAGGTGGACTCTCCATGTCCACCAATTCGGTTAAATAGCCGGACATTCACAGTAATGCTACGAGAAGGAAGTGAGTAGGACTTCCCTGATAATGGCTGTATACACGTGGTCATGTGAGAACACTTGGAGAGGGAGAGCAAACTTTTCCCACCCCTGACTGTACCAGGGTATTTGAGGGCACCCGGGGGCATTCGAGGGTGCAGGGAACTATCACACTCTTTAAATTTAAACAAAATAAGTTGTTAGGAAAAATGATATCATGTTTTATAAACATATATATACATATCAATGATAATGATGTAAACATAAGTCCATTAACTTACAGGTACAGTTTCTGATCGTATTGTTGGAGCCATATTAACTACAGGACTTGAAGCTGTTCTCTCTAATAATGGATTACCACATCCAGTTGTTTGATTTATTCGAGAAATTGGTGAATTAGAACCATCCAAAATGTTTACACCTGAACGATCTGATGTTAAAAATTCAGATCTGAAATTTTTAACATGAATAGAATACTTTTTTTAAAACTTGGTAATCAATTTCACAGGTTGAAATCATGAGTCAGTTGAAGCTAGACCACCATTGAAAACCTGGAAGCACTGTACGGCCGTTTCGTCCTGGTATGGGACTCCTCAGAAATGCGCATCCACGATCCCGCACCACACGGGGCTCGAACCCAGGACCTACTGGCTTCGCGCGCGAGGACTTAACCACCAGACCACTGAACATTTGACATTAGGTAATGTTCGTTTGAATGATTTAGAACTGTAATGGCCTTTTATAGTTGTAATCGCATCTTGTTGAGTGCTTTTCAATAATATACCTCAGAACTTAATGAAAAAAGAACATTGACTATACGCTAATAGCCAAATAACGATTGTTTTATAGGTTGAAATGATGTTAACTAACAGTGAAATCTAGAACGTACATTTCATCCTATTTGGGACTCATCAGCTAGATGTACCTGCATCCTAGAGTTGATGTTCACTCCGGAACTTATAATGTTTGTGAGTTCAAGAAATATCTAGACAATCCATACAAGATACACATTTGCCAATTGCAGACCTTAACAGCAATGAAAAGATTCAAGAAACCAATACAAAAATGAATTAAACGTTTGTTTTGTTTACGTTTAAAGCATTTCACTAATGTACATGGTAGTTTTATATTGAAAGTCACTAGTAATTATCAAGTCCAACCTTGGCATTGATACATATTTCCAATCTTTCTTGATTACCTCTATACTTCTCCAATCAATAGATAAATATTATTAGTTGGATTCATGAGTCAATTGAAGCTAGACCACAATGAAAAACATAGAAGTAATGAACGGTTATTTCGTCCTAGTATGGGACTCTTCAACACTGCGCATCCACGAACCCACTTCGGAAGATTTTGGAACCAGGATCACTTAACCTCGCACACAAGCGCCTAACCACTAGACCACTGAGCCGGCCGGCATCCAACAGTGTTAATGTCTAACTTCAACCAACCCACGCAATCGCGCCACTGTACACCAGTGTCTTCAGTGAGCTAATATCTCACAGCAGACCTGGTTGAACTCTACTGGTAACGTCTAATCACTTGAACTCCGAAAAATTTCCTCTTGAAGTCAGTCACTAGTGAGCAGATGATTATTATCAGAAGGGGTTTTTGTGTAGATTTTAAAAAGTTCAGTAGTTAAAATCACCAGCCAATTGAAACTAGATCACCATGATTTCAACTATTGAAATTTCTAAAACTCTTAATGAAGTTTTGTTCTCTGAGCTGGATGGTTTCGTTGTGGAGCTTTCATCGTTCTTCTGAACGACATCATCAGCAGCACAAGCTTCAGATAGAAGTGAATTGTTCAAATTTCTCCATATGCGTTTCACAGCTTGTTCTGCATACCTCGACGTTGATTGGTCCTTATTGACCCTGAATTTGATTTTGGTAATCAACAACAAAATCAATCCATAATAGAACATGATCAATTAGGCAGAATAAAGAATAATAATAGCAGTAATAATTAAATGTCAGTAAGAACCAATCAACGTCGAGGTGTACAAAACAAACTGTGAAACGCATATGAAGAGATTCGAACACTTCACTTCTACCTGAAGTTTGTGCTGTTGATGATGTCATTCAGCAGAACGATGAAAGCTCCACGACCAAACCATCCACCTCAGACAACAAAACTCCATCAAAATCATCCACCTGAGCTACAAATCTTCTCCATCATCTCATTTCTAGAAAATCTCCACTAAACCCCTTCTAATAATAAAAAAGATCTTGGTGGTGTTTTATTCTCTGAGCTGGATGGTTTGATCGTGGAGCTTTCATCGTTCTTCTGTACGACATCATCATCAGCACAAACCATCCAGTTCAGAGAACAAAACACCACCAAAATCATCCACCTGAACTACAAATCTTCTCTACCATCTCAATAAAAAAAAAGATCATTAAATAGATTAGGCAATCTTAGAATCAGTAATCAATCATTTACCTTTCTAGAATTTTCTTACGTAATTGTAAAACAACTTTACTTCTTGATGATAATTCATTATCTATAGTTGATTGTAAATTATTATTACTGTTATTATTACTGTTATTATTGATTCCATTGAATTGATTATGTTCTCTGATTGATTGATTTGATTGTTGATTCCCATAATTAATTGTAGCCGCTTCCATAGCTAATAAATTCGCTGCTGATGTCACAGATATTGATTTATTCATTGAATTAGTTAAATTATGTACATGATTTAAATTTTGTAATTGTATAGATCGATAATTTGTTATATTCGAATTAGTAGCTAAACTTAATGGTGCTGATCTAGTTCGACTAATTAAACCAATTGATTGATATCGATAATATGGTAATAAATGATGATAAAATGATTTATTGATTTGTGTAATTGGATTAGATTGATGATCATTGATTAGATCAGACATTGTTGTATCAATTTGATTGAATTCATTATAATCAAAAATTGATTGAGTTACATGATGTGTAGTCGGTGTAGATGTATTTGTCGGTATTGTTGTATTCGTTGTTTTATTATTATTATTATTTATATTATTATTATTATTATTGTTATGATTTGTTTGTAATGATGATGAGGATGATGATGATGTACGATGATATTGTGCTGTTAAATTTGGTAAACTTGCACAAAATCCATTCATCATTGTTGAATTCAATATCGATGGATTAAGAGTTGTAGTACCAAATGATGAATGAGATGAATCCATTGCTTGTGAATTAGTACAACATGTATTCATAGTTTCTAATGATTCCTGATTATTGATTAATTGATTTTGTTTTATAAACTCGGTTAAAATGACATCTTGTATAGTAGTATTTGATCTAAGTGATATAGATTGTGTTAAAGATTTCCTATCGGATTTTGTTAATCGTTCATCAGAATCTATTGATGATATATGACTATTATTATTATTTAGATCTTGTGATGGTTTTTTATTCATTGTTTTTTGTATTAAATTTGTATGTTGAAATGCTGATGTTAATTGTGGCCATAATCCAATCATTGCTAATGGATCATTAGATACAGTCATTGCAGCTGCAGCTACAGCTGCTGCTGCTGTATTCATTCCAATATGATGATGATGGTAATAATGACGACGATCTGGTTTATAACGTGATTTTTGTACACCACCAGAACCACTACGCATTTTTAAACTTGGCTCTGATACTGTTTTACGTAGATTTTCATCAATTAATTTATTAGGTTGTTGACGATGTTGATGATGATCATGATCATGATCATGACTAGAATGATCATGTTGTTCAATATGTTTTTCACAATTACTTGTTTCCATGTCAGATGTATGTAAATTTTGAAAATCCATATAATGTATATCCGTTTCATGATTTGAATAAGAATGTTGCATTTGATGATGTAATATATTAGATTTCTTCATATTGATTGGTAAAGATGTCATAGTGATTGTTTGATTATGGGATGAAAGATTTTCAACATCTATTGTTAATGGTGTAATACAACTACTATCATTAGTATTATTACTATTATTATTATTATTATTATTATTATTGTTACTATGAGTACTGTTTTGGTTACTAAGTGGTATAGATTTACCATTCAAATGATCATTGATTAAACAATTATTACTAACAGATTGTTCTTGATTCATTTGTATTAAATCTTTATCAAGGATATGATCACCTTGTTGTTGTTGTTGCTGCTGTGGTGGTGGGGGTGGTTGTGTTTGTGGTTGTTGTTGTTGTTGACTAATACCCATATTCAACAATATTGTCTCATTTGAATGAATTCCTTGTTCTTTACTTTTACGTTTATTTAATACACAATTTTTTAAACGTTCACGAACAAGTAATGATGTAACATTTGTAGTATTATTATTATTATTATTATTCATTGTTTGATTCCCTATATTCATATCAGTATACATTTTAGGAGTTGTCATATTTAATTCCATGAGTTAATGACTTAATTCATTGTCTCCTTAGTAACAACACAAATCAAGTGAACACTGATAAAATATTCATCGATAGATTCAAGTGAAATTTAATTATATTCAATATTTTATTTCATTCAAATAATTGTTCATTGGATTCTGTTGTCTCCCTGTTTTTTTTGTGTGCGTGCGTGTATGTATGTATGTATGTATGTGTGTGTGTATGTAGGCGTGACAACTAAACTTATATTATGTAATCAAATGAAGATAGAAATTGTATCAATCAGTTGTTGCTAAGTAATATAAAACTATTAATAGTAATCACTGGGTTATTATCTTTCTATTTATATGCATAGATATTGTGAATATGAAACATTCTTATTCGAATACATTTATGATTATGACATTAAACTAATCAGTGAATTATGTCATTAGTTAGGTATTTGGATAGTTATGTATATACAAATAACATTTCTATGTATATATATATATACAATACATAGACATTGCGTGGGTTGATATATATTCTCCCTTCATAGATATAGATATTGTGTTACATTTTAATAACAGAGATCTATTCAATAGACAATTTCTTTATCATATTTCTATATAATCCCATCTTATGAATTGATGATTATATAATCATTTCTAGCCAACGGTAAAGATTTGTCGTCAATCCTACTGTTGTAATCATATGGTTAGTTGTATTATATAGTAAAAAGAAAGTACATAGACAGCTTTAGAGACAGAGAGAGAGGGAGCGATCAAGATTGAAATACATAGAAACAGGGAAAAAGAATGTGGGCAAACTGGTAATACAAGACATAACTATTAATAACAGGCTAATATGTTAGTAATCATAATAAAGAGAGCTAGAATATGGGATAAATAGTGAGAGAGAGAGAGAGAGAGAGAGAGAGAGTGAAGACAGTACGATTGGTAGTTGCATTCAAAACATCACATGGTCTATTCGTATATTGGGCGTTAAATAATTGTTATTTGAAAGAAACCACTATTTATAAATTCTCTCTGTCTTATATCATCGTATCGTAAGGACTTCCAGAAATGTTAGTTGTATTCTTTTCCAATGAAGTAGTACCAAATGCAAAAATAAAACACTGTTCTATTCTTTTTTCGTGCTCCCACCTTTCCATATATATCTCAATAGTAGTAATGATAAGAATAATCCGGATAACATTGACACCATTATCTGGAAATGTTCAATGTTTTCGAATAAAGGTACTGATATTCATAATTTTAAGTTCATCTGATGTTTAAAATTCACCATATTGCACAAGCAGATGGCTATTAGGAATCAGTAACTAAGTGGATAATGTAATGGTATTTGAAGTGAAAGGCAAATGAGTTCTAGTCCTGGAGTGAAGATCAACTCTGAGATGTAGGTACATCCAACTGACGAATCCTAAATAGGACGCAGTGGTGGGCGTCGTAGATTCCACTACTAGCCACTATCCTTCTTTGCATAATTCTAAGGTTTTAATAATATTTTTAAGTAATTAATTAAGATATATGAACAGATAAACTATGGCTGAGGTTGTTGGAAATATTTTCGATGTTCATTATGTGTGTTTCTAACCATTTTATCACGTCTTTAGTGGATTATTTCTGAGTATTCAAGTATAATCTTCGTTACAGGCTTCATTTTATGCTTTAGTTTTCATCATATTTGTGTTTTACATCCTGTACTTTGCTATGGGCTACATTGACATATAACTCCTCGTGGAGCACCTTTGGGGTTACTGCCGGTCCCAAGCTTGAATAAAAAAGGAGGGTTGGGAATGGGGGTTAGCGAACCCATCCCGTAGAAAAACAAACTCACTAAATAAACACTAACCAGAAAAGATTATTCAGGTAGATTGACATAAACATGGACGACAGTTATAGATAACATTCGACATATGAAATTTTCTAGTGAGAATCACTCTACCCATTAAATAATTGGAAAACTAGCCTAAATTGATTGATACAACACAGGTATCGAGAATTGAAAGTGCCGGGAATAACGTCGGCCACAATCTGTCACAGTTAACATCATACAAAATGTGTGGCCTTCAGAAGAAGAGTGTCTTAACCATCACTGAGCTATTTGTATCATGAGAAATGAACATAAACCATTTGATAAATAAGGTACGTTTGAAATTCTCATAATTTAATATGAAATGATGGAATTCCAATAGATTATTTTGTGAAAGAACAACAGGCAGAAATACATATATCGACTTCATATTCCACGGATATCGTCGTATTCAATGTTACGATTTGAAGAACGAGAAAATTACCTACTTTGTTAATGCTTGTTACCCATCGTAGGACAGTAGACCGCCCACCAGGATTCACTAACCAACTGTCATAGGCAATTCTCTACAATTCCTATTCATTCTTTTCATGTCTACCTCCAATTCCCGACGCAATATGTTTCACGATCTTCCTCTTTTCCATTTCCTTTCAGGATTAAAAATGAGCTCTTGCCTCGTGATGCAGTTTGATGATTTCCACAATGTATGTCCCAATCATTACCAACATCTTATCCTAATGTTCCTTTCATCTAGAAGCTTGTTTATTCTCCCCTAAGGTGGGTTTCCACTAGTGGCATCCGGTTGACGTATATCGAGTATATTGTGTAGACAATTGTTTATAAATTATTGTACCATTTTGACGGTGGTTTTAATAGTTCTCCACGTTTCAGCTCCATACAATTAAAATCAACTGTGTTGATTTTCGTATTGAAGGTACTGACTTTGATGTTAGCTGATAGACAGTTGTTTTGAGTTTGATATGTCCTTCAATTAATACTAAGGACTAGATAAAATAATATTGATCACTGACTATTCAATAAGCAAACAATAAAAATATCTCAGTTGTACAAGAGGTTAGCTTCAATAATCTGACATCAATACTTTAGGATAACGGTATCTAGACAATACAGAATCACTAGTATACCGTACTGTAGGATAATTCTATCTAAAATCACAAACATATTATGTATATTTTAGTCTGTTGTGTCTTGCTTATAAAGTTACGGCTAAGTTATTTAGTTCTATTGACATTCTGACTCAAGATTAAGAGAGATTAGCTATTAAGCGACATCACTAACCCTAGATTATGATTATTTCATAAACCTTACCTAAAGAAACTGTATTCACCCATGCGGCATAGTTCAATAGCCAGTGTCTTGAATTAGCCATTCCTAGCTTTGTTTCATCTAAATACCATCCAAATCAGAAATGCCCCTTTAGATGACGTAATAATAACGTAAAATGAGACAAGACTGATTGATCTACAACATGATATCAGTTAATAAAGTCAGTAACTGATTATTAAGTTAATATAAAACCTTAATATGAAATTATATCCAGTCATAGCTAAAGTATATCACAACGCTGATGTATTAGCTCATCATAGAACAGTATTTAATAGAATCTTCAGTACAAAAGTAATTACATTACTGTTAATGTACTTTTTTAGACATGAATAATGAATGTCGACAAGCTCACCACTTATTTGTGGCTTTGAATCTGACTTCAATTAGATCGTATGTTGCTTGCTACCGAAATATACATGCCGTCAGTCTTCGTATGTAATCAATGACTTGAACTGTGTTAGTGATTAGTGGAATTAAATAAGCTAAATACAAGAATATGTATATTTGATTTGTATCGGTAATCAGGGAGACGAAACAAAGAGGGAAGAGTGAAACAGATTGAAGAAGCAAAGAGAAGAGAGAGAAAGGCGAAATAACACACAGTGGAGAAGGCATGTAATCCAATTCCATTTAATCTAACTTTAATTAATATTTATAGTCAGACGAAAATAAATTACAGATATATGATGAATAGGATAAGGATGAAACACAAATACGCTCAAATAATACAATCAGAGTTGATAAGTGAATAATTGACAAGGTGAAAATGTGATTCAAAAAGAATGAATAGATGAACCTGTCCGGAAGGTAGAATAAGTTATGTGAACTGGCATAGTAACCGACACTACAGCCTGTTAGAGTATAGTTCCATAAACTAAATTCTCCATCAGGTATACAAAGTATTTCTTCTGTACTTGATTATGTTTATCATAAAACTGAACAACAATACCAATCTTAAGAACTTAATATAGATCTATTTAACTATACTCTAGATATAGTACATGTCAGTTGATACCACTTTCCAAACTCGACAGATCTAATTCGATATTTTATTCTAATTCAAGTTTTATATACAATTTCGACATAAATGTTGATCCAAGTAGTGAAGGAGAACACACAAGTGGGGACAATTGAATGTATTTAGATAATAAAAAAATTACAGAATACCATCGTAAGATCTAAGAACCAAACAGTAAATTCTTTATTTGCAAACTGTCGATCAATGGTCTCAAACTTCCCTGTTCATTTTAGTCAATCATCACAGATTTCATTGTTCTTACATTTTCATGCCAATTGTTTTCGGTTCTTGTTCTTTCCTTCTTGACCTAATATTGTCAGATATTCTATTCTTGACTATCATTATATGTTACTTATCTCGATATAAGTACTTGCTTACTTACTTACGCCTGTTACTCCCAATGGAGCATAGGCCACCGACCAGCATTCTCCAACACACCCTGTCCTGGGCCTTCTTTTCTAGTTCCATCTAATTATTGTTCATTTCTCTCATGTCTATCTCCATTTCCCGGCGTAATGTGTTCTTTGGTCTTCCTCTTCTCCTTTGGCCTTCAGGATTCCATATGAGGGCTTGCCTTGTGACGTAGTTGGGTGCTTTCCTCAATGTGTGTCCTATCCACTTCCAGCGCTTCTTCCTGATTTCTTCCTCCACTGGGATCTGGTTTGTTCTCTCTCACAGTAGGTTGTTGCTAATAGTGTCCTGCCAATGGATTTGAAGTATTTTGCATAGACAATTGTTAATAAACACTTGTATCTTCCGGATGATGGCTTTCGTAGTTCTCCAGGTTTCTGCCCCATATAGTAGAACTGTCTTAACATTTGCATTGAAAATCCTGACCTTGGTGTTGGTTGACAGTTGCTTTGAGTTCCAGATGTTCTTCACTTGTAAATATGCTGCTCTTGCTTTGCCGATCCGTGCCTTCACATCTGCGTCAGATCCACCCTGTTCATCAATGTTGATATAAGTAATACTGTGTTATTTGTATGAACTAAGGATTCTTTTATACTTGATGACGGCTTGATTTCAAATTCCAA